AAATCAAGTGATGTCAAAGGCTAAATGACTCCCTTCTTCATCAAGCCATTCTGTAGCAGAAGAATGGGGAGGTCCTACAGTCATAGCGGGAGACTAAATCAACCCTTAGAAAAATTTGCAGATTGGCCATATCTAACGCATAAAGGTTGGAAATCAGTCCGTGAACTGCATCACAATGCAGGATAGCCCCGATGCATCCTACATTCAAAAATATGACCCATAATGACACCCTTTGATACACCCAATCTTGCACCAGTCATATCAATGCTCAGAAGTAAGATTAGGAAGTGGTTTGCCTGATCACCACCCGATAATCTGCCATTAAGAGACGATCGACTACCCAGATTTACATAACCTGGAAGTCACCACATCCATGACCAAAAAGCAAAGTGATTTCTGAAGGGAAAAAAATACCCAGAAAATAATTCGGACACCTTCGAAAAATGGACAAAGCAGGTGGAAGATGCGTGGAAATAATCCTGGCTGAATCCGACAGCCCTTTAAAAGAATCCCAGACAGGTAGAGGATAACCCCCATCTATAAATGTAAACCCTAGTCCGCACACCACCTTATGGAAGAGACAGTGATTATAATGATTTCTGTCACTAACCTCGGTCCAGTATAAGCAGGTGATCCGACAAATTCGACGATAGACGCTATCCAGCACCAACTCAAAAAGAACAAAACAATTGAAAATTGCCTCACATAAAAATTGACTGGGATGCCGTTGTGAATGCAAAAGGGTTTCCACCGACCTTCAGGAAATGGTAGCCCACAGAGGGCATCACCTTGAGTCAAGCCCTTCATAAGCTTAGTGAACTAATCATGCAAGAGTGCACGAAGTTCCAAAAAGAGCTTGAAAAACAAAATGCGGATAAAAAAGCCAAAGGGTTCCAGGACCTCTTGAAAAATAGCAAGGAAAATTACCACAAAGGCATTTATAGAATGATCAAAGAAAAACCTCACCCACCAATCCAAGCTATCCAGGAAACGGTATGTCTCCAGGGCACACCGGTGAGAAATTTCTTTAAAAGAAAATCGCTCTTTGTTGTGGAAAAACATCCGCGATGGGACCAATTTGCCGAGCTCACAACAGGTGGACATAAATAAAAATTGTTGACAAAAAGAGGAGACTAGTACAATGTGATGGTCCAGTAACACGAGACAAGATCCAAATAACATGTGTTTTTTGGGTTTATGACACGTCAACAATGCAAGAAGCCTTTTTCAGAGATTGGGGACAATACTGGAACCGCGTCCAGGAACCCCATCCAGAATTCCAATCTATGATCCGAGGAATACCACAAGAGTGGAAAATCTTTCAAAGTCAAAATCTAGATATAACAGTCACTGAATAAAGGAAGCAATCAAGAAAACTAACCCAAAAACATCCAAAGGATCTTGCAACTGGACTATCCAAGATATAAAGTAATCCCAGATGACCACTAGAAAAATGATCACCCACTGGAATAATTTTTTAAAAGGCAAAATACCATGGCCGACAGAGCTATCCTATGCAAAAGTGGTATTACCATCGAAATGTAAAGATGCATGCCTGATGACACAGACACGTCCCATTACTGTGTTGTCATAATGTGGAGACTCTAGCCAAAACATGGGCCAAAAAGGTCATCGCACAACTGGCATAATCGCACCAAAAGCCGTCCAAGGTGCCATGCCGAACCGCAGTGCATGAACCTATGGTTTAGTATCCAACTGCAGATTGAACATGCAATTGCAACAGACCACCCTTTAATGGGAGCAGTAACCGATTGACAAAATTTTTCAATACGGTACAACGATCATAATCCCAGACCTCTTTTCAGCATTTGGCCTTCCATAGAAACTGCACACAACTGGGTTAGCATGCTGAACCAGTTGGCAAAAATTGTGGTAATAAATGGCCACTACTCCCAACCATACACAAGCCTTACAGGAGTACCAGAAGGAGACCCAATAAGTGTGGTGGCTGCACTTTTAATAGGATAACCTGGTACTGGTTTGTAACGCAAAACCAAGTCGCACCTCCCCAGCCATGATCTACGTTGACAACTGGGAGTAATGGCGGAAGATGAGCAAGCCTAAACGAAGCTATCCAAAGAAGTGAAAAATTCTGCCAAATTTGGCATTAACATTAGATAAGAAAAAGAGCTGGGTTTGGCACTCTGGGAAGAAGGACAAACACCTAGCCGAGTAACCAATTTACCGGCAAAGCAATCAGCCACAGATCTCGGAGCAACCATAAGATACCGAGGAGCCATTGCGACTGAACTCCATCGTGATAGATAGCAGCTGGATGACAAGACTGAATAAGTAACCAACATCAATATGGAGGACTCTGAGTAGCTTGCATTATAGAAGTAAGTGTTTACCCAAAAATCTTTTATGCTTGCGAAATCCATGCCATACCCATTGATGATTTCCAGCTTTTGCGAAGCAGAGTTGCCAGGACGATTTTCAGGTAACACAAAAATCAAGCCCTGCAGTGGCTTAGCTTAACTTACCCCAACTAGACCCATTGGTATTTACCACAAAAATGATGATCCGATCCATCCGCTCCTTCTCGGTAGCCTATCCAGAATACGTTCATCACATGGGGTTATTGTGGGCGCAGCCATAAGATCAACACACTATTGCTATGGACCAGTTGCAGTCCTGAAAAGAAACTGGCGTGATGCAATTCAAGATTGCGAATCAATGGGAGTTTATCGACTTTCAAGGCAAGAAATGGTCTTGATACAAGACAACTTCCCTTAATAATAGATGCCTAATCAATCAGTGGGATCATTGTGTTTAAACCAATTTCAAAACAGGAAAAACTTTGGTGACTTGAGCTGTGTCGACTAGCATCCGCAAGAAATGTGTGAAAGAGAAACATCCGTCACAGCGAAAGTTACTCTAATCCATTGACGGGAGGAGTCTGCACAAATGAAGATAAGCATAAATGGGGTTAATTTCCAGTCCAGCCTGCGACTTCTGTGGTCAAGTTGACACCTAGAGCACAGATATTAACCTGTAATGCATGCAAAGACGAAAAAGTGGATTAACCCCCTAGCCACATAACCATACCCAGACTTCTATGCCCACTCCCACCTAGGATCGAAAATGTAATAATGTGGGACCAGATAACGCAGAATCGCCCTGTACATCAACCGGTACAGTGACACCTGCATGTCCAGACGAGATGACTTGGGTGTGGACTGATGGCTCACAGCCTTTGCATGCAATGGATGCATCCTAGCTATAATTATAGACCATTTCCCAAATCAAGTCGAAAGACAACAATGGATAGACCAAAATTAACATCTCATAGACCATTCCGGGTCCACCATATGTCAAAAATTCCAGGAAGACAAAATGTTGGAAGAGCAGAAACATTAGCTTGATATATGTGTTTGCTACTTGGCGGCATGTCCATTAACCACAGACAGTGACTATGCAGTTGGCATATATACAAAAGTATCCCAAGATCCAAACTGGAAAAACCATATAAATTCCTGCAACTACGATCTGTGGATTAAAATGGACGAGTCCTAAACGCGTTCGGTGAAAACACACACCGAAAAATCCACATCGAATAATCAAAAGCCACGAAGACTAGCAGATGATCCACGACAAAAATACTTACAGCTTGGCAATCAAGTAGCAGACTCCACCGCAAAAACCAGCTGATGCATGAAATTCCAATGTTTAAAGAAATTAGAAACTCTATTAATGCGAGAGTCGCACGCCGAGCGACTACATGGGGGATGATTTACGACACTTTGTACTCAGCCGCTACGGTGTTTGCAAATCATCAGACTCCACAATCACAATGCGAAGAAGAACCAGAACCACAGCTTCTCCCCAATTCCACCCAAGAAAACTATGTTCTAGATCCAAGTCATTTGGTCAGTGCTCATGGAGAAGATATCATGCATAGAATGCTATGGGGAGCAACATATTCAGCGTATCTATATGACTTTCTCAAGCAACTGCAATGGGACACATCGCCGAACACCCATACCCAATGGGTAGAATTGCTTATAAGTTTTAAACTCCTTTCAGCTCTACACACACCGGTGCCTGTCATCCCAAAAATAAAAGAGTATCAATCACCCTCCATTCTGCCTCAATTAAGTAGACATGCAACACTAGGACACGAAGTAAAAGCATTTGCATCCGCAGTCTTGCAGCTTGAATCGATCACAGGTGAGAAGCTCATACCAGGCATCCGTACCAAGAAAACCAGATTGCATAGGAGTTATTCAGTCAATTCTCCCAACACGGGAGTGACTTTCCGTGCCGCTTTCCCGCATGCAATGGAGGTAAGAAAGATTCTAAACGAATACTTCTTGAAACAACCATGTAAGAGACGTATGCACCCAACTTTAAACTTTGGTTTGGATCTTTCATTACCTCCCATTAATGTGTCAGTTCACCCAGTTGACGCAATCTTGACGCCAAAGGCCCGTGCAACCAATTGGCAGCGGTGGTACCAAATGGTATACTACCAAAGCCGTAAAGCCAGTCGTAGCCGGTCTGAAACAGCTTGAGGGGGCTGATCAGACCAAATTCGTAATTAGAGAATATTCCAATCGGTGAATTGTCTAACAACTACCTGACATGACACCGCACACTCTCTGGTCATCTTTTTCATCTCACTGAAAGCGGTGTGATGCTCACTTCGGTTGGTGTCACCCCGAGACCGTGCGCAGCGAGGGGACGACAGAGGGTTGTGAACAACAGACTTGTCTGGGGGGCCCACTATGGATTGAGTGTTGGAAAAACAGGAATGTACCAAGTGCTTGGCTACTGCGGGATGGTTATGGGTCAAAATTGGGCCTCAATTCCGATGTTTGATGCTAACAATGATCACAATCTGCGGTCAGCTTGGGGCCAAAGAATGTCGCTGGTCATCATAAATTCCCATATGCCCCATATAAACCACCATCATTATATGCACAGAAAGGCAATCCATATCCCATAGCACAACAAGTGATTCCTCCAAATTTCGACTCATGGTCAGGTTGGCTGCGTCTGCCTTGGTCTCCTCCTATCGCAAGGTGGAGTTTCGTACGTGTTTGCCTTAGGAAAAGGTGGAATTTATCGTATTATCCAACTATCCTTCTTGTATTATATTGAATTATATTGTATTATGTATTTTACCCTATATATATATTATATGTATATAATATAATAATATGTATATATATATATATATTCACCCAAACAATGAGAGTTTAGAAATGAAACTCCACCTTGGTGAATAAAACAAGACCAAAAACAATGGTGAATTTCAGGCGCAGGTGATCCAACAAAGAACAACGTGGGGATTTCAGCACCTGATGAGTGGATTTAGCGAACAGCAGCTGTGATGGAACCAGCACGGCATGAAATGGTGGTATCACCAAGGAAAATTATATATGTATATTATACATACGTATGTTTATACAGTTACAGTACGTGCAGTTACATGCAGTTGCATACAATTACATACAGTTGCATACATACAGTTACGTACAGTTACGTGCAGTTACATACAATTACATACAGTCACATACTGTTACATACAGTTGCATGCATACAGTTATGTACAGTTACGTACAGTTACGTACAGTTACATACAGTTACATACAGTTACTTACAGCCGCATAGTTACGTACAGTTACTTACAGTTACATACAGTTACATACACATACACATACACATACACATAGATAGATACATACATTAGATAGATAGATAGATGGATGGATAGATAGATCGACAGACAGATAGATAGATAGATGGCAACGCTCCGACAAAGATAGAGGATACATGAGCAGTGTTCAAAACCTCTGTTGGTTGATAATTATAGGGGATTGTACTACCCAAAATATTGGGGATTCTTTCATAATCCAATAGGGAAATCCCAACCAGTATAATAGAATGATAGAGGGATTTTGAACATTGCTCACATATCCTACAAGCAATTGAAAAAAACAATCAGAATCGGTAGATATACATAAGTATGATCACTTTTGAGGCGAAGGAAAACCCACCAGTCATTGAAGCATCAAACAAATGCTTGACATATGTTGGAATATTGGATGGTTCTTGGTTCTTCTATGTTTTTATATTTGTTCGATCACCAATTTCCAAAAATTGAACTGAGAATATTCTGAGAAGATGGCCACTGTAACTCAAGTCCAGTTGGATCTCTTTACCAAGCGAATGGTTGCCACACAAAAAAAACTGGCAGAAGATACCAAATGATAGAGATTCAACTTGTGTGACTTCTTTTATGATGGGGTAAAAAAAATACAAGCTATAAACACGTTTTTTTTTACATGGAGCAGGATATGTCAGTGTGAGTGTCAAACACATGGTTTTAGGCTGGTAAACCAGCCATCTATTGGAAATATGTTGCCACATATTTGGTTCCTTTACACTACAAAATTAATCTGTTTTTGGCCAACTGTTTTGCCCTCTTGCCGCCTTGAAACATTATACACATGTAAAAACACACACATATATATATAGCGTAATTTTACAACAAAAGACATATAAACTAGATGTTATTAGATTAATTTCTATTTGATAGACAGACAAAGAGCTAGCTAGCTAGATAGATAGATCGATCGGTCGATCGATAGATAGATAGATAGATAAATAAATCGATAGATACATAGATCGATAGATAGATAGAAGGATAGACAGATAGACATACATAGATAGAAAAAAAACGATTAGATAGATAGATAGATAGATAAATAGATAGATATATAGATAGATCGATAGATACATAGATCGATAGATAGATAGAAGGATAGACAGATATACATACATAGATAGAAAACATATTAGATAGATAGATAGATAGATAAATAGATAGATAGATAAATAGATAGATAGATAGATAGACAGACATATAGATAGATAGATAGATAGATAGAAAACATAATAGATAGATAGATAGATAGATAGATAGATAGATAGATGGATAGATAGATAGATAGATAGACAGATAGATAGATAGATAGAAGGATAGACAGATAGACATACATAGATAGAAAAAAACGATTAGATAGATAGATAGATAGATAGATAGATATACAGACATATAGATAGATAGATAGATAGATAGATAGATTAGATTAGATTAGATTAGATAGATAGATAGATAGATAGATAGAGAGATAGATAGATAGATAGATAGACAGATAAATAGAGAGATAGATAGATAGATAGATAAATAGATAGATAGATAGATAGGGAGATAGGGAGATAGTGAGATATTATATATATATATTTACAACTTATACATACATATATATATACAAACATATACATATATACATATATATGTATTTATATTTATATATACATATATATATACATATGCCTACACACGTGTCTACGTATTCATTATGTCATTTGGTCCGCATCCAGAAGACGAGAAGACAGGAACCAATCCGCCATGTCAGGCAGTGGAACTTTTAAGAAAGCGTCAGATGCACCAGCTCGTGGTGCAGGCAGGGACGGTATTTTTCTGATTTCGAGGGATGGGGACCGTCCAGGGTGGAGCAAAACATCTATGGTTGAAAAACAAAGCATCTACAGTGGGAAAGAACATGGTTTCCTTGTGATGTTTTCAGACTTGTTCCTTCAACCAATCCAATCAAAACATATCTAAATTAAAGTGCCCTTTGGTATTTTGACACAGCTATCTAAGCCATTAGATCCGTTACCTGTTTTAAACACGGTGACTCTCCAGTTTGACCAACCCAGGCTTTTCATGGTCACTACATGTCCCCATGGCTGAAATGGCGCATTTTTCAAGAATGGAACCACCCCAAAGCAAGGTAAAAATAAAATAGTTTGAATATCTATACGTATACTAGATATATGGTGATGACATTTCTTGATGTTTATATTACATTATATTATATATACAGAATATTCCCTTGTAACTTCAGAGTCCTTTCGCCTTCATATGTCTGAACTCAACAACAATCCAATCAGTGCAATGCAGGCGCTACATGAGTTGGGCAACTTGCTGTGGTGTCTCGGATTGGGGAAGTCCTTGGGCAGTGAACCAACAGAAAATGAGCCATTCAACATACCACTGTTCTGGATCAAAAACGACCCCCGAAAAAAATGAGAAAAGTTGGGAACCTGGAAGAGAGGTGGGAAACATGACCCATACCATCTTGGAAACACGTTTCTATCTTTTGGGGGGTGGTATCTAACAATTCACCTTGATCTACTCTGGGTCATGCTGGGCCATTTGAGGATTCTTCCAATCCCAACCATTCCAGAGACGTCGCAGCTGGCTTACTGGGGATTACCCATAATAGGGATACGTATTACATCCAATTACCAACCAGTTTATGGGGGATATGGCTATTGTTCATGGCTCAAATGAGGCTTTCACTACCTCTTCGGAACAACACAAACCATTTTAGAGGGGTACAATACGGCAACATGGGATATTTTCTGTGTAGAACACAAGTTACATGTCCAACCATCAGCTTAGCGGGTCGCCTATTTTTCAGACAAATCCAGCTTGCACATCCAAATCACCAGCACTTGTGGACATATTGCTGAATAGGGTTTTAACATGTGAAACCACTGGAAATCGATTCTATGAATTTTGTCAATCTTATTGTACCATTTTAGACCTCTACGCCTGACTTCCCCATTTCTTCAACGGACTTGGGATGGTTTTGTTTTCGTGCAGTCACCTCTCGACTGTGGATGCCCCTTGGATGGAAAGTTGAGATGTTTCCCCCATGAGAATATGGTTGAAGCTAATTACATTTAAAAAAAAAAAGATAACCTAGGTTTCCTTGGCACTGCTGGGACAGCGAGAAGCGTTTCTCCGCTTATAGATTGAGGAATCCGAATGTCCCAAGATCCTACTGTTGTTGCACTAATGATTTGAACATTTCTACTGGTTCATGCCAGTCAACATTCCCGATGGCACGACTGCGGGTGTGTAAACACTAGGGTAGGTCGATGATGGATGGCCTCCGGCTATTAATGTCATTGATGTGTCATCACATTGACTGCCAGTATCCAAAGCTATTGTAAGTGGCACCCCGAACGTTTTACATGGAAAGTGAAACCTGCCAATTCAACTCTGGTCAAATTGTTCTGCATGCCTCAGCCTCTGTGTGATTCTTTGATGCCATGTTCACACATGCATCTTCCACATCAGCTCCTCTGTGTTCTTGATTTGATGTCCTATTTCCACCGTTGAATACATCTGTTTGTGGTGGCTAAGTTCGCATCTGTGGGATAAACCTCCATATTGGCCGCTTTTATTGGTATGTCTTTGATGGCAATAAAAATCCAATGTTTGCCGCTTGTCGACTGAATTCTCAGATTCCCAGTCTCTTGTTATTTGAAACCCAGTGTTGCTGAAAGCTGTACAACGTTGGGGCTTAAGACACCAAGGTTGGAAGGTGATGCATCGGGCGCCCCTTGGATGAAAAACCAGACACCTACCCAGAAGCCAATGGAGAATGGAAAGGAAAGATGCCATGAAGTGATAGTTGATTGTTTCTTCAAGTTTCTTCAAGCTACACGCACTGTTTCGGTAGTCGCTCAACTTTCTATTGAAAAAGGATGGACATAGAAGATGATATACCGTTTTATGATATATATACACATAGACATACACACATATAATAATTATAACGATTCTAATGCAAAACCGTTCCATCCCCTCGTAGTCACATCATTGTGATCACACAAAATGAGGCCCGGGAAGCTTGGAGCGATGCAGTGGACACCGTTGGGGAACTCGCATCCTGTGATGATGAAATGGTCTCCGACTAACATTCACTTCACTGAAGTCTCTGGTTCCAATTGCGGTTCAACATTTTGGGCTGGTACCATCTTGTACCATCTTGTACCATCCTAGAGGCCTTGTGTTGGCTGATCTGACGTCAGCTGTGCCAAAAATCAGCTGCACTGGGTCGTGCATTCGAGGACTCGTATACAAGTGGTCTTAAACCAATCAATGTCATTTCATCCGGTCGTATAGTTAGGTTGAACACTATGTTTAAGTGATGATATTCCCATGAACACCTCCATTTAGGTGATTTCCTTGGATTTGAAGGGGAAATAACAGTGTATCCCATGGATTATCGCCACAATTCCATGGAACATTTGGTGAAGTCCCCAGATATTTTTCAGTAGAATGTTGGTAAAACCATAAACCATGCCCAATTTCACCACAAATAGCTATTTTTAGCATTCCCAGTCATGGGTGGTTTATGGCATTATTTTACCCACATGATATATACAAATCCCATTAAAATCATCATTTTTGTTGATGAAATACCATTAAACCACAGTTTTTCATGGTTAGTTATACCAGGTCTTCCAATTGGTCCAACCAAAATCCGCCCAGGTCTTCCAGTTTCCGTACGCCATCAAGAACTGGTGCAAGTGCATCGAATCCTCCTTGAATCCACCGCAGGACGTCGAGGGAATGGGGCCTTTTGGCAAGGGCGGTTGGCACCTGCATGTTCTTATTTTTTTCTGTTTGTTTTTGTAGCTATAGAAGGAGTGTGTATATATATATATATATTGGGCCCTGCCCCCCCCCCCACTAACAGTTCAAAACTGCCGCCCCTTCATAAACCACATACCAGAAAAGCACAATCATATTGGTGGTAACTCAGGCCATTTTAGGGGATCCTTAGGGTCTGCTTATTAGGAGAAAATGTGATCTAGGTGGGCCGTACAAGTAACAAAGGGTGGAGTAGTGAATGCAACAACCTCACTACCTTTGAGGTGGCATTGTTTATGGTTAAATCATTTATATCATTTTAACGAAAATCCGCTTGTATTGCGCCATATTGTTGGAGCCATCAGGACATGTTTGCTGAACTTGTCATCAACTAGCCAAAATCAAAGTATCGATGTTGGTGTTGATCTCCTTTGATGGTTGGAAAGCTGGAATGGTTCTGAAAAGTATGACAGCTGACGTGACCATGTTTATCTTTATATTTGTATGTCAAATAGCAATGGCAATGAAATGGTATGATGATGCAAGGTGTTGTATCGAGATGATGATATGATATAATGACAATCTTTACAGTATGGGTCGCAGCATAACTGAGATACCGAAATACCGCAATCAAACGATCCAACCATTGTAAGTTATAAGTTGTGAGGGTTACAAAGGCGTGCCTCCAACAATAGTTGTTGAGGTTCTCAATACACATCATATGATAATTACATTATTTCACATTCCTGCTCCTGGCATGGGCTCACTCCTGAGAGATTCTTTTGGAAAGGAAGTTGGAAAAGGAAATGCTGTGAGACATTTGCGGGGCCGCTGGTCCGAAGGCTGTCGTCAGGCGGCCTGAGCTTCATTTTTTCCAAAGAAATAATGATTTTCTTGTGCTTTTTTTTGGTGTTTATTTGTTTGCTTTTTTGTGCTTTTTTGTGCTTTGTTTTCTGCTTTTCGGGCGCCCCCGGGCACAAAAAAATGCACAAACAAAAACACAATTCATACCACAAAAAAACAAAAAAACACAATTCATACCACAAAAAAAACAAAAAAACACAACCCATACCAAAAAAACACAAAAAACACAATTCATACCACCCAAAAAACACAAAAAAAACACAGTTCACACCACAAAAAACAAAAAAACACAATTCATACCACAAAAACACAATTCATACCACAAAAAAAACACAGAAACAAAAACACACAATTCATACCACAAAAAAAGCACAAAAAAAACACAATTCATACAACCAAAAAGGCACAAACAAAAACCTGAATCCATACAAAAAAAAACAAATCATGCGTGTTTTCAGCATGTTCGGTCTTGAATTTGTGAGGGGAAAATATTGTTTAATTGGTTTTCTATTGCCAGAAACACAAATCATACCACAAAAAAAGCACAAAAAACAACACAATTCATACCACAAAAAGCACAAGAAAAAGCACAATCCATACCAAATAACACAAAAAACACAATTCATACCACCAAAAAAACACAACAAAAAACACAATTCATACCACCAAAAAAACACCAAAAAAAACACAATTCATACCAAAAAAACACACACACAACAAAAAATAAATCATGCCACAAAAAAAACACAATTCACACCAAAAAACACAGAAAAAAAATCATACCACAAAAAAACACAATTCATTCCACAGAAAAACGCGAAAAAAACAATTCATACCACAAAAAAAAAAAAACCTTTTTGTTTCTGCTTCAGTCTCTGCCTCTTTTCTGTTTTTTTCCTGCTTCTTTTCTGTTTTTTTTTCTGCTTCTTTTCTGCTTCGTTTCCGCTGTTGGAAAGTTGCTGCTTTTAAAGCATTTTCAATTGGCCAGCCCGGCCCAGCGCCAGCCCCACCCTCAGCCAGCCAGCCCCCCAGGCCTCTAGCCCCCCAGCCTCACAGCGCCCCTCAGCCCCCCGGCTCAGCCCCAGCCCAGGGCCAGTCCAGCAGCCCCGGCCTTTTATATGTATTGCACGCTCACATTCTATTGTTTTGCTATCGGTGCTGCGATGGGCAACATCCTAAACCTTAAACAGCATTGCTTTGCCATCAGCACTGTGGTGGGCAGCATCCTAAACCCTAAACAGTATTGCTTTGCCATCAGCGCTGCAATGGGCAGCATCCTAAGCCCTAAACAGCATTGCTTTGCCATCAGCAACATCACTACCCACAAGGTGCTGACAAGCTGGATGCATGAGGCATCCCATTGGAAACGCCAATGTCGAATTTTGACAGCAAGGACTTCTGGACATGGCAAGAAAATGTGCCGACCGTGGAGCCAACTTGCAGGGAATATGACTGGTCATCTGGCCTTAATAAGGGGACATGAAAATCATATTGGGGGCTACAACTGGTTTCGTTGTTCTGTTTTTTTCTGGTATGAATTGTGGTCACTGTTAGTGTGACGAGGCAGGGCCAAATATATATGTATGTATATATAATGTATACATAAATATATATATACATATATATTTATACATATATATAAATATATATACAAGTATATACATATATATATACATATTATATATATATATTCATTTATTTACATATATATATATACACATATATATAGAGTATATAGAAACTATTTTATTGTGGGGTGATGCGTTTCTGCTTTCTTTGATTGTCCAACCATTATTTACTATTTGGATATTTGGGACCCAGTATCATGGCTGGACAATAAACCACAAATATCTCAAGATCGTGTATATGATGATGCCCATCCGGGTCCAACATAGACCTCTACCCTTGGGGATGTGTAGACGAGTGGAAATTGTCCGCCAAAGGGATCAAACGTACTGAATTGGGTAGATGGACATCACAAGACCGGCTATTCTCATTTAATTTCATTTATGTTTATTTACCCAGAACAGATTGTTATTTTTTTTCGGTGACATCCAACACAGTCTATCCAAACACATCCAAGTTGCAAGGGACCTTCTGTTCGAAGGTTTGACCTGCTATGGAGCATTTCCTAGCGATTTTAGGTGTCTTGTAAATCACCTATTTTGTGGAGAATATGTACATTTAATCAATATGTGACTGGAGTGTGCATTGTGATGTGTATGTATACATATATATGTATATATATATATACATACAACACATGCAGATATACATATGAACACATACGCACAACAGCGTGAACTAACTAACCATGCTTATGCCACATTCTGCATCCTTGCTCGTTCGGAAGGACCCGGCACGTGTGGAGATTCTCTTGTTGTCGGTGGGGACACCCGGGAAAGCAATTGGTGAATTGAAAAATGCGGAAATCTAAGAGTACTCGTGTAGCCCGTCACAACCGAACAATATATATTGTAACATATGGGAATACAACATATGAACATATAGTGGAACAATTGCTTATGGTGGGGATTGGGTTTTAGACGTAACACAATTTCTAATTTGTTGATTTTTTCAAGGTATTTACCATCCATCCTGCAGATGTGGCAGATTTCGAACAAAGGCCATCAAATTCTCTGCCCCTGATGGGGTTTGATGATGGAATTTGATAAGCCCAGAACACCTTTGGCAACATTTGGATTCGTACCTCTAGGAGAGTCCCTTTGGATATCTAAACCTCGGTGATTGCCTGATGGGTGATTTGTTTTTGCCATAAAACATAGTACATAGAGCACCAGTCACTTTTCAGAACTCATGTTTTGAAAGCTAACATTGGTATATAGGCTATGTTGTGTTTTTGCAAAGAATCAAGATAACTTATTCGAAACCATTTCCAATGATACAACCATCTTACCAATCAGTTCCCCTCCAGAAATTTCAGATTTCAGCCATGATCGCCTGCAGGTGGTGCTGCTGGCCAAGCATGCTCGCCTCACGAAGCCCAAGGCTCCGCTATGCTCCGCTCCATTAGAATCCACTAACTCGGGGATTTCTGTGTGGCAATGATCATTTGGTTTGATGTGGTGATAAAATGTGGTATGATGGTGTCAATTGTGTTTTTTCCTATGATCCCTAGGTGAGAGGAAGGTCCACATTGTTGTGAAAATTTGTTTAGGGGATTGAAACTATAAAGCGCTACGAAAGAGGCCATGAACATGATCGTAGCTTGCTCAGTTTCATAAAACCCAGTTTCTATATGATCATTGAAGGATCATTGAAGGATCCTATAATGCTGACAATCATGTAATATACGTATTTACGTCTGTGCTCAGAAAAAGAGTGGATGCTGATCAATTATATAAATATATACACATCTATACAGGGATCATATAGTTTTGTTTTTTTGCAGAACCCTCAGTGAAAATGTAAATCACACAAAGTGTGCGTTTTCATGAATAAGGGATACCCAGTGACACTTCCAATCGTAGGGCATCATTTCGCCAAATTTGTGCCTTAACTGAATTGGTTTAAGGATGTTTAAGGGACATTTTGCTGGAACCAATCATTTAAAATAAAGCCATCCAAAAGCAATCCATTTGGGGATATAAAGCCAAGAAAACAGCTACTGATTTGGCCTTTTAACACATCACAAGAACCAAGCCGGTTCCCGGGTTCCTCACAGAACAGGACATGATGGCTCACCTCAATGCCACTCTCTTTGCTTCCAACATCTTGGAGGCAGGGAGAAGATGGCTGGAGCCGGGCACTGGAGGTGGATGAGGTGTAAGAAATGGAGGTGATGGAGGTGATTTTTGATGTTTGCAACATGGCTGAACTATGGGAAGAATAGCTGAATAGTATTGAATAGTGATTTTCATTATTTCCTTTAAAGGAAGACGGGGATTGAGCCAACAACATTTAAGCGTACATCCAGAACATCCAGAACATGAAGAGAAATTGCAAAGCGATCCCAATACATGATGGATGTCGTTGCCATGAATCACCATCATAAAGAACAATAAAGAACATGGAGATGGAATGATGTGGTAGAACATGGGCTATGACATTCAGCGGCTGCTAAAACTATCATCGGAGATTCATTGCGCCACAAAGGTGCAGGCATCGAACTGATCAGCTGAGTCATTCTGAACCCCCACACATCTCAAGATTGTACACCCATATATTCAGACGAAAAAGTTGTGCCATGGTCATGACATGGGGTAAGAGGTGATCCTCATCTACCATCTTCATAGGGGTTTATTATATATCCATTATGTTTGGAATCCCTTTTTCATGATGGTGGAACCATAAACATTCATAATACATTCATAACTTGACCATTGCATATCCGACATATCCCATTCAATCACCAGAAAATGGTGAAACCTCCCATGTTTTGACCGTGGGTGTTCGAAATCTCTGTCGCTTGGGGAATAAGATCTATGAACCTGCACTCCCATTCTTGACCAACCAGTATAGATTCAATAAATTTCAATAACATTGCGGCTTGTGAACTCTGCTCATTTAATCATTTGTAGACAGTCAAACTTAGATTTTCGGAAATCCATGTTACAGTAAATGCATCAAATTGTATCACCGTTGAAATCCCAGGTAAAGCATACTAAATCTCCAATCAAATCCGCATTGCGCACAGGCCATCCTGACAACGGCCCTGCCGAACCCCCCGCGGCGCGACGAATTTGTGCCCAACAAGTGCCGTGGCAACCAACCGCACACAGCGTTGGAACAAGAGGTCAGCACCAGAAACATGTTTCTTGGAGTACTACAAAGTGATACAGAATGTGTAAAGGAGGACTCCACTATTGCTATATTTGTTTTTCCACCCAAAAGAATCGTCGCTCAATTGTGTCGGAAACTGGGGCATACCGGCATACCGACAAACTTTGATGGGCTAGTGGATATACGGGTATTCTATTTTCAGACGAGCCCATTCAATGAACCGTGGCCGTTTCCCTTTTGTTGTTTGCACATTGAGTACGGCTTACAAAGGTCGAAGCAATGATACCACATAAAACAGATATGCTACGATACCGCACATGATTGCCAATATATGAGTGATTGTCACAAGAGCCCAATTATGTAAGATCCGGATCAGGTTTCAGGATGAACACAGCATCACATTACGCATTATTTGTTGTTGGGAGTCACCAGCTTCTTACAATCATCTGGTAGGACTATATATGATGTTGAGATTGAGTAATCTGCTCAGGCACTTTCATAGCACTTGCATTCCCAAAGATTGGTGCCCAGAAACTGTGTCTCCTCAATGGAGGATGTCCTAGCCGCCTAGATGGTAAACGTTGCTACTCAAACATGGCTAGGAGTCAAATTCCGAACTAATGTTGGTGATATTATCCATACCTGGGGAATTTTCCATTGCCATGTTTGATTTTTGGAGGGGATGCCATCCTAATCCTCATGTATCTCCCAAATACCACGGCTTTGGTTCACCTTTGCTGTCTGAGCTATAAATGATGAATGCTCTTAGACCCTTAGATGCTTTTAGCATCTTTTGTCACCGTCACGTTCTTGGGATTATCTTCCCGTTTTCAGTGCTTACATCTGAGTGTTTACGAATGTGTCCTGCACATTGCTGATGGCAAAGTTTCTCCTGTTTATCTATGCTCGTGTAGTTTGGGTCATCACTATTGAACCCCCATTATAATTGTTTATAATTGTTTATATCCAATTGAGGCTCAAACATGGGGAGCCCACATTGTTTCGATAGCGCGATGGTTTTATTGTTGTTCCCCATGTTGCTCGCACATGGTCGAAACCTATCCAGCCGGCCACTCTCCGACCGGGTCATCGGGTCATCCAGGCACCGTTTGCGCGAGATCTTCTTTGGGCTTCGGGAGACAAGGCACCAGAACCGACCGGGTCAGGCTGGCACCAGAACAAAAATGTGAATTTCATCAAGAACAATTGGCATTAATCCAGAACTGATAGCTTGAACAAAAATGGTTACCTGATGTTACTTGCCAATGAACATACGTTACGGAACTTCAACATGTACTTAACAGTCATAAAAAGGGGGGTGTACATGGTTTTACAATCAATAGCGGGCAGCTGACTATGAATTCATTGGGTGGCAAAGCTGGCTGTAACGTATTGGATCAGTTGGATCTATTCGTTCATAGGGGTCCCCACAATTGGTGCTATTTATATAATGGTAAATGATATTAGGGGACCAAACATCACCATCTTAGTATTCCATTTATATATGTTCATTTTAGGTTGAACAAACTAGAGCTACAGTCGAATAGTGATTACTAGACTCTGGGGTATTGTCGCTGTAAGTGCTAAGATACATGATGTATACATATATATATATATAAATGATTATAGATGTATCTTGGATACGGAGACACATTTTGATTTAGTATTGAATTCTGGGAACACTGTATAGCAACCCACAAAAAGACGCCGAGTGCTATCAGGACGGTAGTTCAATGATGTGCTCCCAATGTGTTCATATATGTGTGCCACCTTTGAACAACTATTTTGGGGTTGCTTGATATGGAGGTTTCCCAAGAAAATGGTACCCCAAGGCCTCAAAACCATTGGTTTTCTCATTGATAATAACCAATAACTTGTACGATTTTCGGGTACCCCCAGCCTCTGCATGGTAATAGGATGTAGATTGGAAAATCATCATTGTTAATAGGTATATATCATTATACAATATTAGAAATCATTTGTAAACGGGCCATGTTAGCACTCCATGGCTTATTTCACTTTGCCCAGAGGGTTTTTGTTCATTATCCCATTAAGATCAATTAGTAGACCTCCCATTTATCTGGGTAAATTTGATCACGACCAAACTGACCAAACCCTGTTCTCCCGAGCTGCTTAAGGGAAATCATCCCAGCCGCAAGATTCAGGTTAGTGAAATATTTTTATTTACCCAGATATTTTCCTGTTTTTTATTCAATATTCTGGTCAGAAAAAAGTGTGACGATTTATTTTCCATAATATATGGGATGTCATCCTTCCCACTGACGAACTCATATTTTTCAAAGGGGTAGGTCAACCACCAACCAGATTATTGTTATCATATAACTCAGATATATCAACCATAGTTATCATCTAGCATATTCCACTCAGTCATCAGATATAAATCCATATAACATATATCATCTAAGATATTCCATCTATATAATACCGTATAGTCCAATAGTCACCATTATTGTTATGATATACCAGATGAGTTTTGGGGATTTTTCCTGTCACCGCTGTCACCAATTCCCCCTTCCCGCCAGGATGATTCTGCCGCCCAGTAGTGTCTATGGTGGCCTGGGGATCCCGGACGAGATCTGGATCTCCACCGGGATCACAACAGAGAGGTTAATGTAGTTTTACGTTTGTTTAAGTATATATTTAGTATATATATAATGATATATAATGATATATAATGATATATAATGATATATAATGATATTTAATTATATTTAATAATATATAATAATATATATATGATTATATTGAATTATATATATAAATATTATATTATAAACTTACTATATATATATATTTAATCATGATAATCATGCATGTTATATAATCATCATGATAAATAGAAGTAACGGATATAGTAATAGTAGATGATGCACATGAGCCATCTGACCTCGGCCTGGGCTACCACCTGGATGGTCGGTAGAACCATCCCAATTCCATCAGACGCAACGTCACCATTCCCCGGTTGTACTCGTAGGTTTAAAAGCATTGGGTTTAGCACATTTTAACAGTCTAAAACTGCATATGTTCCAATAATATCCAATCATACTCCAAACTCCAAAGATGTTCAATTTGCGCAACGTCATCATGAGGTGTCGATGGGTGCAACTTCCTAAGTGCTCTCAGTTTCTTTCAAAACACCCTGGTGGTGTGGAGGCCCAGTAACCCCCCATGGGCACCCAACGGCCAACGGCCTGCCGTTCTGGGGCAAAGAAATTGCGTCAAAACGATTGAAGACTTTCGCAAGTCACCTACAGCACCGTAATGACGACTTAACCCTGACCATTTGGATCTTGAATTCGTATGAACTCGTAATCTTTGGTATTTTTCTTATATATTCACCCATGATGTTGCCAAGCCACATGTGCTTAGACACTCAAGTCGATTTCAGAGGGATCTGAACAATGTTTTTATCACGCAAACTTATTTAATCATTGCCATTGTGACCCCTGACCCCGTTGTGACCCTTGGGCCAAAACTAGGAATCCATTCCCAATTACATTTGTTCAACGAAACAGACTTGGCTTAAAGTTTACCACCTTGTCATATTTGACGTGCTCCAAAGTCTGACATTTGTGGAATATTGTTTCCCCATGTTTCCCCACTATCCGATCCAAGTTGATATCTTGATTATAAATATTTATAAATCTACTTGTAGAGGTCATGTATGACACTTTGATTTGTTGTTCCCCAACAAAACGCTGGTAGAGACTGAGATTATTCTCAACTCCCATAGCTCAGGTCATGAATTATCAGCCAGCTCGTGCTCTGCCAATCTGCTCCCTGTACACTTATGTGGCCACGGATGTTTGCAGGCGACGGGTGGATACGGATGGGGGATCTCATGGATCCTATGATGTCGGTCCAGACTCATCCTCGATGTTGGTCCGGCAACTGGTGCTTTTTGGAAAGATGTTTTTCTTACTGGTGCTAAACGCAGGGAATGAGGGAATGATCCATAATAACTAGTAATAATCATCCCAGCAACCCCCAGCAACCCATCCATTCCCTACTAAGCACCAGTAAGTTTTCAATCTTTGCTTCAAGCCCAGTTATAAGTTGGATTTGGACGCCATTCAACTGAAGATCTATCCACCATAAATCCTAATCCAACTTGCCTATCTTGGAGGCCCCACATCGTTTTAGAACATGTCAGTAAGAACATGTGAGTAACCGGCCGAAAGTTAGCAGCCCTGGATCCGCAGGAACGTCGCATTGAGTATCAAGGGACGGCAGCTGGGCTATGATTAGCAGCTTTTGGGATGAAGACTAGGGGTTCCAAATGTAGGTATGGTACCTGTAATACATATAGAAATATATAAAATTGTATAATTTATTACTTAGCTGACTAGACACTTCCATTTAACATTACATCACGACAGGAAGCTCTGGCAGGGCTCCCTGGTGTGTTGCTTTGCGGAGTAAAGGGGAGGCTTTCGAGGCTCTCAACCTAGATCGTGCAAATGATCATGTTCTGCCCAACCCCCTCATCTCCACCCACTCCGCCCCCTCAACCTCTGTTCGCATCCAACATTACAATATGGGTTGCTGCTGTTCTAAATGAACATTTTTGATCACAGGGTCACTCACGCCACCAAGCCTCTTTCAGTCTCCAGCTTGGCATACTTGTGGATCCTCCAGAGAACTACCACTTTACAGGATGGCAATCAGTCTGCTGATTGTCCACGGGAGAAACATGATGAAACATGCTGAATTGAAGGGAAACCAATGTCAACCCAAAGGTTGCTGAATCCGTTGCTTGTGACAGTTTCTTGTTTTCGTCACAGGTTTAGGAAATCCAGAATCATCCTCAACTGAGTTGTTTGGTACAGCATTTCTGTTGAAGATCAATCCATTCCATCGGTTGCTCAATGTTTTTCCGAGGTTGCTGATGGTCCAATCTTTGATCCGGTGCCGATTCTTTACAGAGGTCAGGGGGGGTAAACTGGGTAGACCATGACTGTTTCGTATGGGCTAAGTGTGAAAGCCAAGTTCAATCAATTTCATAACTTTTCCTGGATAGTCCTTGGGAACTTTGGATGAAGCAAATAGATAGTCCTTGGGAACTTTGATGAATTTGAGATTTTTTTATAAATTGGGGTGCCACCCTGTGATCTCCCTAAATTTAACAACCACAACTTGGCTAAACTGGGGTCGGGTCTGATCCTGTGCCAGTTGTTGGCGAGGTTGACCGACAGAAAGGGACAACTGTTTTTGAAGAGTTTTAGGTCAACCGAACGGACAGTAGTTTGTTACTGTTTCTCTTTCCCAGAAACAGGAGAATGTGCCATACCCGGCCATACCCAACTTATTGTTTAATTGATTTTAATTGCAAGGCGTCTAAGATGTGTCAGTAAAATGAAAACAATATGATTTAAAGCCAGCAGTGTAATTTAGAACTGCAAAATGGTGGCCTTATTTCGAAATGATGGTAATAATAATGGATAAGAACAGGATAGAACAGGAGGGAAAAGTGTAAAGCCTGTTCCAATCATGACAGCTTGTGATGACATACTGTGGATGGAAGAAATCCTGCACCACTTTGGATGGTTGAAACCCTGTAAAAAATGGGATAAACCATCTATCAACTGGTGCAATATTTCTTCCATCCACAGTAAGATCAGGAGGGGATACCTCTGGCTACCAGGTGAAGGATATATATATATATAATATTACATATTTATATAATATATATGTATATATCTATCTAATATATATATACACCCTATATTTATGATATATATACATATGATATATATTTTTATATTATATATTTTCTATATATGATATATATTATATATATTATATATATGTTTTAATATCTATATATATCATATATATATATAATATTATATGATATATATATATATATTTATTTTTTTAATGCATATCATATGTGTTATATATGTAATAGAACATATTTATAGTATAATATAATATTTATTGTATGATACATAATATATTTAGTATAATATATATATAATATATATATTATATTTTTTAATTTTGAATATATATTTCATATGCTATAAATATATATAATACACAATACTTATTATAATATATATATATTTATTATGTGTTATATATTTTATATCATATGTATAATATATATACAATATAATATATATATATATATATATACACTATACTGTGTTTTGAATATAAAAATATAATATATAAAAGAATATATGTATATTTTAATATATGTGATATGGCATACAATATATTTAATATATTTATAATGTATTTATAATATATTATATATATTAAAACAAATATAATATAATATATATATATATTTAATATGTAATTTTTATTATATAATATATTAACAAAATATTTAACACATAATATAATATATATATATATTCTATTTAATACATGCGTGTATATTTATATAATGCATGTATATATATATATATTTATCAATACATATATATATATTATAATATATATATATAATATTTAATTATATTTAATATATAATTTATAATATATAATAATATATATATAATATATAATAATATATATATAATATATAATATATTTTATATTATATATATACATGCATCATAAATCTCGTTTTGAGCGGTAAAATCAGGGTCAATCCAGGTATCTGCTGGGAAGGCCAGGGAAGCACCTTGGATTTCTGGGTTTTGCCAGGCCTGGCTCGCCTTGTATGCCATCTCCCAAAACCATGATCAGTGCGCCTGTCAGTGGGGGACTTTTTGGCCCTTGGAATGATCACTACTCTGTGAAATGGAGGAACAAGTTGTCCTACAACAAGTTGACATTTTTTCCAGGGTTCCAACTACTCAGCTTCATTTGATTCAACAATTCATGTAGGGATAGAAATACAATGGTCTGTTGGGTCTCCAGACGTTGGTTGACACATGTATCAGCGCACACGATCAACAAGAGGAGGATCTGAAATCGACTCTTGCCAAAACTCGTAGTGATCAAACCTGTGGTAGATTCGGAGATATACATAGACTGCACAGATATGAGTGAACATCTCCAACTAAACATGCTACAGTCCTCTCATCCACCAGCAAAACAACATTTGAACCGAGGTCATATCTCTCACAAGGTTGGGTTGGTGTATTTTCACCCATCCAATTGCAGAGATAGCCACCATCAATGTCAATCAATAAACCTAGCCGTTAACATAGTTCTGAATCACCTTGCCTATCTACTTAGTGTTTCACCTCTCTTCGTAAGTAGACTGTAACCATGGGAACCTGATCATATCCCATGTTTGGGTGGACTTTCAAGCCGTTTTCCACAGATTTCTCATGGTCAAGTCCTCATTTCTGATTAAAACTGTAGATTTCTTTGTTGGTTTCAACATGTTTCAACCACTTTTTTCCCATGTTTGTTTCAATGGCTATCAGCGGCTTTCTGATCCTTTTTGGAAGCCGGTTACCACGACTGGTGGGGCCGTTTTTTTCGCTTCCTCACTTCGTCACCTTCGTCCTTTGAGGCCGCGAGGACTTGTCGAAGCAGAGGCCTTGAAATGGGGAGCGGGTATACCGGTATACCCCCCAAGAGGCGGGAAACTGATGATTATGTAATCAATGAATCAGTGGATTGAGACGGCCCTCTCTATTTTCAGACAAACTCAGGGCATGGTGAAAAACTTGATGAGCTCCATGAAATCGTCCAGAAGCCGCGAAGCCATCGATTGGTGTAGTGGAACAGCTCCAAAAAGACCTAGTCACCTCAAAACACAATAAATGGTGATTATCTGCTAAATGAAATGATATGACATGATGAAATGATTTGAACTGAAATGATATGATATGAATTGATGATATGGTTTGAAGCGCCACGAATTGATATCAAAGTGCCAAGCAAATAATGGCGCCGAAACGCAGGCTCTGGATAAGGCCATTGTGGAAGCTCAGGAGATGAGCAACGCGACGTCGCTGGGTACAACCGGAGCTTATTGTACACAGGGGGAACAATAGTGGCAACGTTGAAGCATATAAGAATAAAAAAACACTTAGGAGTAATATGGAGTAATATCATGTAATATCATTATCTACTGGGTTTCTATTTAATTAGTGGGATGTAGGATATAGGATTGGAAGACTGTATCTATACATCTATACTGGGTACAGTATATAGTGGTATTATTTGATTTGTTCATAAAGTTTGAGGCCAAAAATCAATAACGAAATCAAATATATGGGTTTGACTTCATTGATGGCTCTCTTCAAAATTGCCAAGCTTAGGTTCTGTTTAGTTTTCTGGGGGATGTGCGCAATTCAATACATTCTGGCAGGTGCCCCCATTTGCAGTACCAGTATCTTATGGTACTATCCATGAATCGTAATTTCTGGTAGCATACATCAAGTGTTTGTTCGTGTCATTACAGAAAAAAAACAGCCTTGTTACCCTCTGGTAAACTAACATAACTATGGAAAATCATTTTCAATGGGTAATTCCACTATAAATGGCCATGTTCAATAGCTATGTTAAATTACGGCCAAACACCTTGATTTGCCCGCGCTTTTCGGCGGCCATCTTCCGACGTGCTGAAAACGTGGTAAAAATGGGAGTTTTTTGCATGACCGGTAACTTGAAGTTGTTTATCTCAACGCACAGGTCCCTGACCTGTGCGCGGCTTTTACACAGCAACATCATCATCATCAACATTAACATCATCATCATCATCAACAACATTAACATTAACATCAACATCAACATCAGTTTAATATTCCCCAAATACCGTTGTTGATCTTCCCAATTGAATGTAAACTTTAACGGGGGTGGGAGTTTAATATTCCCTAAATACCCTTGTTGATCTTCCCAATTGAATGTAAAGTTTAACGGGGGTGGGAGTTTAATATTCTCTAAAACCTTTGTTGATCTTCCCAATTG